ATCTGACATGTATTTTTCTCTGAACTTTGAGTCTTACAGCTTGGTATAATAAGTTATGCAAACAGATATAAAATGATCTGTCCTTCGGGATATTCAGTTTGGTGATTATTAACCTATGACAACTAGCGGAATAGAAACATTGTCTTTATGCAGTCTGCAGCTAATCAAGACATTAGAATAAGAACTAATATGTTTAGAGGACTTTCATTTTTTACTTGGTTCAAGACACTGCTGTAAAAGCATAAAGATGGTAGCCAGATAAATTAATTTAAAGATGACAAAGGCAGTATTTAAAAAATTAAATTAAATAAAAAATACTGGAATCAAGGGAAGCACACAAAATCGAAATCCAAAAGTAAATCACAAAGGGTATATTAGATTATTCAGCTACAATAGAGACCCTAGCTTGTGGACTTTTGGGACTGAAAAGGAAGCTTTGAGGTAGGTTAAATAATGACCCCTCCCATCAGATGTTCATATCCTAATCCTTAAAACCTCACATGTTACTTTACACAGCAAAAGGGACTGTGTATATTTGATTAAAGTGAGGTTTTAAAAAGTTGTTTATTCATTTATTCATATGTGAATACATTGGGCCATTTTTTCCCACTGCCCCTCCACTTCCTCCCCCTCCCCCACTCCCTCTTCTCCACTTTTGTTGAAGAGAAAACATAAGTGATAATAAGAAAGACATAGCATTTTTGCTAGCTTGAGATAAAGATAGTTATACAGAGAGATTCCTAGCTTTGCTTCCATGCACATGTGTATTACAATCTGAATTGGTTTATCTCTACCAGGCCTCTTCACTACTTCCTGGTCACCTTCCCATAGTGGCCTCTGTCAGTTTAAGATTACTTTATTAGCTCCTCTACAGTGGGCACGTCAAACACTTTCAAGTTTTAGGTTTCTTTCCTTTTCCCTATTCCTTCTGTACACGCTCTTTCCTTAGTGTGTGACCCATGTCCAATAATATTACTGCATTTGTTTTAGGTCTATAATCCACATATGAGGGAGAACATATGATTTTTGGCCTTCTGAACCTGGCTAACTTCACTAAGATGATGTTCTCCAGTACCATCCATTTATAAAGTGAGGGTTTTGAGCTTAAGGAGATTATCTTGTATTATTTGGGTTGGACACAGGGATCCATATAGGAGGGGGACAGGAAGTTTCAAGTCTGAGAAGGAAATGTGACAGTGGAAACAGAAGTTGGAATGATGTGGCCCAAGACAAGGAATGGGAGTAGACTCCAAAAGGCAGATAAGATGAGGAATGCATTTTCCCTTAAAGCCCGCCAACATCTTGATTTCTCAGCTCTGGGAAAGTGATTTTGGATTTTTGATCTCCAGAACTGTAAAGTAAAAAGGATATGTTGTTTTGAGATACTAAATTGTCATAGTTACTTAACAGTAGCAATATGAAACTGAGACAGACCTTAAGTGTCAGGTAATGCACGTTCTTTATCTTTGTTAAGCCTCACTATTCAGATTTTGGGAAATAGGAAAGTAGGAAACACTTAAAAATCAGAAAGATTGGGAAACATGGAGAAAATTTTGTTGTCCAAGATTACTATTAACATCTCAAAAAGAACACATGAAGAATTTGAGAGGCAATTAATAGTATAGGATCAAGGTAAAGCAACACCATTCAGGTGTTCTAGAAATCCTGGGTTATACCTGAGCTGCTTCTCTTATTAGTGGTTAAAACTGTTGGAAGGGACCCTTATCCCACCTTCCATAAATGAAGGGCTGTCTTGGCTGCTATAACTGTCTTCATCATGACCACTGCAAACTGTCCTTTGCAGTTAGAAGTTGAATCCACTTGGGACTGAACTGGTGGTATACCTCTGCTCTAATTATTGAGCCTCTTTCTCGCTGACCCCCATTGAACATAGACTAGTACCAATACCATGGTTGCGAAATGATGCCTCTAATCCATTACAAAGCAAATAATTTATAAGCACCCCTTAAACTGGGGAATTTGATTCCTCCCAAATTAGTGTAGGGATGGTCTGATAGTGTTTCTTCTCACAACACTTTTGATACCAAATTTGTGGGGTTTTTGACACCAAAACCAATTCTGTAGCTCCCAATACTGGGTGTCCTATAATTCAGTTCAATTTTGACACCAACTACCCAAACTGAGTATGAGACTTCACAGGTTGAGTTTCACAAGATTTCTCCCACTTCAAATGCCAGTCACAAGTCTCAGTTTGCTACCTATGCTTCTAACCAATCAGACCCTTCTCAGGGTTAATAATTTGTTAGAACAGCTCACAAACTCCAGAGGAACACTTTACTTATATTTGCCAAATGATTATACACGATGCATCTCAGGAACAGCCAAATTCCATGTACCACTCCCTCAGAGAGTTTGTAGGTTGGTGAACATATGGAGGTACTGGAAGAATGATGTGTGGAATTTCTGGTTATTCCTCTTCCGCAAACCTTGCTCTATGCATCTCTTACTATTTGATTTTTTCTGGAGCATAGGTGGCAACTTGGATTATAGGACACCTAATAAAGTAAAGTTTTGCTCTTATTTTGGCTTTGTTATCGACAGGTTACATCCTAAAAGGCCTTTTTTCCCCCTGTGTCTGTTCAACCATGAAGTATCTATTAATTTTTGAATTTATAGTTTGTAACAAAGAAGCTAGGTTTGAATCCCATCTTCATTATTTACTAAAAAGAAGTTGTGCAAACCACATAACACATATGGAAAAGTCAGTACTCAGCCTATTGTGGTGCTTCACACTTGTAATCCCAGTATTCTGAATGTTGAGGCAGGAGGATCCTGAGTTTGAAGCCAGCCTGGGCTACATAACGAGACCCTGTTTCACTCCATGCCCCATCAGTATTAGCCATTATTCCAAACCATATGCTAGTTTAACTAGGTACTAAATTTAAATCAGCTGCTCTAAATCCTAATTCCAGATGGAGATTGTTAAAGATTATTAGGGATAGAATGAAATAATGAATGAGAAATCACTTTACAGAATGTAACAGAACATAAAGCACAAAGTGTTAATTTATTTTAAATGAAAAGTTAAATTTTCCATTATAAAAAGTACATATCCTCATAGAAAATTTGAAAAAAAATTAGAAATGAAGAAATAAAGTGATTACCTATTGTACCTTCATCTAGAAATAGCTGTTTCATTTCCTTGTACATCTAAAGATTCTATTTTTCTTAAAATATAGATAGGTTATTTTGGAACATTCAGTGATCCTAGATGGGAAATTGTATAGCTAGGAGTTTGATAAAAGGGAATACCTGTCACTTGATGTCTTTCTCCTCTAATTACAATAATTTAAGCTCTTCATTATTAATTTTAAAGATGTAGAAAATCCTATCACTTATGTGAGAAAAATACATGGCCATCTTTTACAGCTCCTTTCAGGTTTTCTTTTTGGGAGGGAGTAGTCAGTTCTCACACCAGGGCCTGTGTTAGGAGCTTGGAGGCTGACTTGGCATCATTCCATGTGAAATGTAACAGGGCATCTTAAATGACTGTAAGTTTTGTGTGAATCCAGCAATAAGCTGTAGCAGCCATAAATACTAATACAGACTTAGGCTTTACCAATGAGGGATCTGAGGATGTGGTTTTCTTTCTGTGCCTTGTGCATCCAGATCACATGCAGCATCTTATAGTCCTTTGGGGGCTAAAACAGCAGTGGTCAGGAAGTCCTGTCATTCATTGAAGAGTTGAAAGAGTTAAGGATGTTTTGCTTAGTGGGCATCCTAGAGACAGCTGAAAGAAATCTACATATGAAAGTGAGAGTGGTTCTGCACAGCAAAACTATAGATCTTGGAAAACAATTAGATGTAATTTGTCTTTTGCTTAATATATCTTTATGTGTATACACATATAAAATTTATTTATTTTTGGTTTAATATGAATAAATACACATGATATATGAATGAACACACACACACATATATATGTATGCTTATAGTAATGAACTAGACCTTAGAGGGGAGTTAAGTTTCTGGTCATTGTATTTAAGCTGAGGTTGTGTGGATCCCTGCCAAGCAATACTATAAATGCATTTCTTCATTAAATCATCCACTTATTTACTCACTTTTTATGAGCTCTTCCTATGTGGCAGATTCTGTTCCCAGTATGGAGAGATACAGTGGGTAAGAGGTAGGATTAATAAACTAAAGATTCTGTTGTATCTGTAGTTGAAAGAAATTGGTTGATGATGCTTCAGTTTCTTTTGACTTGAATGTGGAACTCTGATTCTGCATTACCCACGCTGTCTTTTAAATATCCCAGTGTGTTCCTTACATTTCATCTGTGATGTGGAGTAAAGTTTTCATGTCATTCTCTGAAGGATTACAGAGGGATTTAACATCATGAATATGATAATAGTTTATTTTCCCACCTTTGAGGGTAGCATCAACTTCTAATGGAATAATATTGGTTTTTCACTGGAAACATTTAATTCCAGATTGATTTATTGTTTTTAAAGATGTAGGATTTGTCAGAAATTATCATGAGAGAACATATGCTTTTAAATGTCAGGGACTATTATTTATTAATTATTGATATTATTCTTTTACTCTCTCTTCAACAAAATTAGAGATAAGGGCAAAATAGTTTCTGCCAGGTAGCGAGGGGGTGGGAGGGTAAGGGAGAGGGTAGGGAAGGGGGGAGAAATGACCCAAACATTGTATGCACATATGAATAAAAAAAAAAGAAAGTTCATTGTTGAAAGGCATATTGCTGAAAGGAAGAGTCAGGTTTCAAAGTTATGCTCTTATTTTTATGAGGGAAGTCATAGTTTTTGTATACTAAGATGTTAAATCTACAACTTCAGCATTTGTAGATTGACTATATATCTGGACTAATTGTACTTCTGCCTGTAGAGATCAGATAGTACCAGGAGAAAGCAGAAGTGCCAAGAACAAAGTGTACAGATTTGGAGGTGATATTGGGGTTTCTGTACGGTTTGGCCTATCAAGTAAGGCCAGCTGCTCATTTGTTTCATGTCCAGGTTTGGAATTCACCCAGTTGCAGGCCGAATGCCTGGTCAGCTTAATGTGCTTCTGGCTGAGGCTGGGGTGCCCTATGATATTGTGCTGGAAATGGATGAGATCAACCATGATTTCCCAGGTAAGTGATGGAACTGTCATGAAGTTTAACATTCTTATTGTGCATAAAGTGATGTCAGGCCTAGAATATCAGTTGTGTAATTAGCGAAGACTGACAAGTAAGAGGAAGAATCGTCTGTATATAGTTAGGCAGTCAAAATTAACTGAATGAAAGATGGTATTGAATAAGGTGCATAAGATTTGTAAGTAGCACAGTTAAATTTTGTTTCTCTGTGAACAACTGAAGGATGGTGACAGTCCTAGTATGTGAACACAGATGAATCTTAGACCTGGCAGACCTGGCTTTTGAATCCAGGAACTGACTCAGTAGCTCGTGACCTTGAACTTGATACTTAACACAGGCTTCTCATTAACAGAATGCTTCTGCTGATGAGTTGGTGTCTGATTCTTGCCAGTGTCTGAGATTTTACTGGTGTTTGATTTATTAATTCATGGTCAGTGAAGCATTTTTTCTTTTGTTCTTTTGTTTTCCCTCCCTCCCTCTTTCTTCTCTCTCTCTCTCTCTCCCCCTTCTTTCTCCCTCTTTCTTTCTCTCTCTCTCTTTTTTTCTTTTCTCTTCTTTTAGAACTAGGACTTCATGAGATAAGGTGCTATGCTTTATAGCTATCATTGGGTAGATGTTGAATGGTGATGACATTTGGCCCAAGATCATGTTTGTTAAAATTAGATCAGTTCCCTCTGGCATGTATCCAGTATAAACTTAAAAAAACACTGTTTATTAGAAAAAATCATGACATCATGTGTGTGTTTAGCATGCTTTGGCAACATCCTAAGGTAGTTTAAGTCATATTCCTTAAAGAGAGAATTTAGTCCATTCTAATTTTATCCCCTTTTTAATATCACTGTTCTTAAATTATGTGTAAAATCAGCCAGTTTCAGAAATTATGGACACAACTTTAATACAATACAGACTTTTTAGACCATTGTCTTTTAGACATTAGAGTGCATCTTAATTGGTAATTTTAAAAGTTTAAAATGGATATAAATCTTATAAAATCATGTGAATAGCCACATAATTTTGAGATAATAAAAGAAATAAAAAGTCAGATTAAGTAGATCCATTGGGAGGGGAAGGGTTTAGTCAAGTTGATCAAGTTCTGCGCAGGACCAACTGTTGGTTGTTTTTAGCTCTGCGATGTTGACTAACCGCTCTGATAAAGCTGTTTGTAAAGTGCCTGGCACAAGTGAGTATCTTAAATACTAGTTTTTGTTACTGTTGCCATTATGAAGTCAGATCACTACAATTTGCCTGAAAGAAGTGAAAGTGACCCCTTTGTATTTTCTGTTTTTTCTTTTTTCTTAATGTAGACACTGATTTGGTCCTTGTAATTGGAGCTAATGACACTGTTAATTCAGCTGCTCAAGAAGATCCCAACTCTATCATTGCAGGCATGCCAGTCCTTGAGGTCTGGAAATCAAAGCAGGTACAATTTTCAGACTTGTATTTTATTCTGATTATCAAAGGCCACTTGAAATATGTAAACAGAACTTTGTAAAGTCACTTGATGAGAAATTATGATGCCTTTAAGAGGCTCACAAGTAAGAACATGGTTAGGGCCTACTTCCTTGTGTCCTGTGTCCAGCTTCTGTCTGTTCTCTGGCCACCAGAGAACCCAAGTGAATGCCTTGTCATGAGTAGAACCAGATGAGATTATGTGGGTGGATTAACAAAATCTGTAACCACAGCTGAAAAAAGCTGTGAGCTTTTGGAATGAGTCTGGCACATTCCAGATCAAGCCCAGGGAAGCAGATGACTTCCCTCTGGGGCAGTGAGTCAGTATCAACGCCTTCACTTACGAAGAGGAGCACATTTTTTTAATTTATTGTTTTTTGAAGGGGAGTTTGTATGTTGTTATGGAGTGTCTAGCAGAAAGGTGATTTAGAAATCCAAACACTAACATGGAATAAAGAAGGAGGCTTTTACTCATGCATATTAGTCCTGAAAATAACTAATTGCTAGATTTTGGAGAACTAAAAGACTTGTAAATTTTCCTCTGCCACAGAGGGGGGTACATCTCTTTAGCACTTCCAAGTCACGTCTGCATTTTAAGATTTATAATAACATAAAGTACATTCCCCCCTTAATTTTGTTTCTTTTTGCTGTGAATATATGAGTTTAAAACTTAGTATTTGAGATGACTGAGTATATACAAGATATACTTGTTCATGTGTATATGGAATATTATTGCATCCATAGTCAATATTTAAGAGTATACAAAGTGCATTGCTATAGTAATGTTATGTAATATATGAATAAATTTTCATTGCTTTCATTTTTGAATAGATTTCATGTCCTAGGAGCTCACAGAAAGTCTTTTAATTTCATTAAGAACTGACTTGAGATTCAGCAGGACAGCAATACCCATAATTCATGTCATTATAAATACTAATACCACATCAGTATTATAGATCCACTTACCCCTTTCATTGTGTTCAGTGAGAGCATTCTGTTAGTTATTAGCTCTGTCCTTGATAGAAGCTGATTTGCTTTTTTTGGCCTTATGCCCTAGAACTTTCTTACATATTTTAAAGTGATAGAAATAATAATGATAATAAATTAAAACATTCTGATTAGAAAATGTTATTCATTGTCATTAAAGAGAAAAGGATAAGGAAAAAAAAATCGAGGTAATCTTATCACTCAGATAAACTATTGTTAACATGACTTTTTTTTTTTCTAATGGATATGAGTCCGTATAGGCATACTTTAAAAATTAACATTATCACAATGTAAACATACATTTAGAAATATTCTTGGTGTATTTAAAAAGTCTCTATACTAAAGAGTTAGTAGTAATACAAGCCTTGTTCACAGTTAGGGTAGAATTTCTGCTGAGTTTGCATAGTTGGGTGACTATAGATACTGTACTGTGTGTTTCAAAAAGCTGGAAGGAGATTGGATGTTTTCACCATAAACAAATGATAAATATTGGAGGAGATCGATATCTTTAACCTGATTTAAACATTACACAATGTATATGTGTATTGAAACATCATCTAGTACTCTATAAAAATGATCAATTTTATGTTTTCATATGTCTTAAAGATAAATCTGAAGTATTCAAAAACGAATGTACAAATTAAAACAATAACAGCAACAACAATAAGAAAAACAAAGTTAGGGAAGGCTAATGTTTGTATGCTTCAAATATTCTTACCAGGTCTGTTGAACATATTCTCTCATTTAATCTTTGGTTCTTAGGTCATTGTCATGAAGAGATCATTGGGTGTTGGCTACGCTGCAGTGGACAATCCAATCTTCTACAAACCTAACACAGCCATGCTTCTAGGTGATGCCAAGAAGACATGTGATGCACTGCAGGCAAAAGTTAGAGAATCCTATCAGAAGTAACTGTTAAAAAAGCAAGCCAGTGCCTAATAAAGCAACCTCTGTATTGTAGGAAAAGGCACAGTATAAGTACATGTGGCTGATACACATCTGTAGCAAAGCTCTTGGAAGAAAAGGAAGACTGAAAGAAGCAAGTAGATTGAGGGGGATTTTTCAAGAGCAGAAAACCTGCAATTGGAAAAAGGGATTGAAAATTCTAAGCATCTATCTGTGCATATTTTTTGTGTTAAGAAGTAAAAGTATTTTTTATAAAAGGAGAAAAAACAGCCTCATTTTAGATGTAATCCTGTTGGATTTTTTAATTCCATTTCAATAATCAGAAATGTTCTCAGAAGTTGAATATGTAGGATTTCAGGACTGCATTATGCCTGTGTCTGAAAAATGAGCATTGCAGGTACCTACATTTATGTTTTTTTAGCAAATGTGATTAATTTGAAACTTAACAATTCCTGACTTGTTCCCTTGAGTTTTTACCATCGTCTGAATTGATCATGACAAATCCATTTCAATTTTTCAGACTGAACTATTTCAGATTCTAGATTTTCTCACTTCTATTTTCATATATGAAAAGAATAGATAATCTTTAAGAGATGCTGGAAACAAATCATTTGCTTTACATATTCAATGAAACAGATAACTTGAAATTAATATTAATTGTATTTTTGAAAGCCCCATATTTCCAATTGGAGATCTCTTTAATTTCAATCAGTTTATAATGTGTAGTATTGTATTAAGTGCACTTGAGTGGAATTCAACCATTTAACTAATAAAATGAGTTTATCATGTTTGCAAGTGATGTACCAATTGTCTCTGGTGACAAAAAGCTAAAATTATTAACACTGGTAACATAGTAATGAGTTCTATCTCGTTATAATCTTCTACCACGAAATAAATTAATCTGTCTTAACTGTTTATAAGAATAGGTATTTTTCAAACTGCAGCATATTTTGAGGAATTATGTAATTTGATAACATTTAAGAGAAATGGTGACACTTTTTAAGCTACCTCTTTGTTTATCTAAGTGCCAAGTGCCAGTAAAGATTCTGTCTTTGATAGAATTCTAGATTTTCTTTGCAATTATATCAAAATCTCTAGATGTAGGAGAATGTGTGATGCATAATTAGAGTATCTGTCTCTATTTGGTACCAAGTTTCTTAAAATAATTATTAACTCATTAAAAATTATCTCTAAATCAGAAAAAATATTTGATGTAAAATTTATTATTAAAATGCATGGTATCTATTGGTTTGATAAACAATTTCCATTTGCTGTGCCTGAGATTAAGGTGTGTGTGTATGTGTGTTAAAGCAGGAAAGATTTCTTTTAAATTTACAAGTAGTAAATGAATTTGTTAATGGATCTGAGGTCACTAGTAACCTCAGAACTGGAGTTTATCATGAGAGTTATATTTGAAAAATTGAACATTATCTCTATTCATGTCCTGTTCTTTCTCTTATAGTAGTTGTAGGTATTTTTAGAAAGTAACACTTGATTTAAAGAAAGTAGCTCCTGAATTCAATTTAAACTTAAGTATATTAGAGGAGAGATTTTGTTTTTCTTCCCTCAGATACCACTTGACAATGTCTAGAGACATTTTTGTTTGTTACAACTAGGAGGTACAACTGGTATCCAATGGGCAGAGGCCAGGGATGCTGTTAAACATCCTAAAATGTGCAGGACAGTCCCCCACCCCCAGTCACAAAGAATGGTCTGGCCTAAAATGTCAATAGTGCCAAGATTAAGAAATCTTGGTCTGCACTAGTTGTTCTGCTCTTATTTTTTCTTCGTGGTATACTACTTATGCTGTCTGAAGCATGGAGATTGTGCATTTAGACACACAATGTGTTTACATGAAAAAATGTTATCATTTGTTTAATCAAATGTTGAAGCTGAATTTTCCAGAAAAGGGGGAGGGTGGGGACAGTGAGGATAGCACAACAATGATCACTTTGTTTTCCCTTGAGCCTATCAATGATTAATGGAGTTCTGTTTGCCTTCAAGGATTGTTAGCAGCAGAAGAAAGGACTTTGAAAATGTACATAAAGGTCTTTGCTACTGTAAATATCTCAGGCTTTTGAGAACTACAAAAATAGGAAAAATTAAATTGACCCAGGGGACACACACCTGGAGTTGAGTCCTGTGCTCTTATTGGCTGTTGAGTGCCATTCATCCAGATGGCATGAATGAATTCTCTAGGGCAGAGAGTACAGTGAGGGCTGGCCTCCTCATCCAGACAAAAGTCCTCTAGTTGTATGAAGGACAGAAAAAGATGATGTAGTCATGGTAGACAATGCTGAAGACAGAGCCCAGTGTTTATCCCAGAAACAGTGGCTGGGCTTCACAGATTAAGTTCTGGTTGCTTTTAGGATCCCCACCAAAGGAAACAAACACAAAAACAAAAACAGAGCCAGAAGTGGTGGTGCACACCTGTAATCCCAGCACTAAGGAGGCTGAGGCAGGAGGATCAGGAATTCCAGGCCAGCCTAGAACTCACATAGTGAAACCCTTTCTCAAAAAAGAAAAATAAATAATCACAGTTAGGTTTATATATTTTGGTCACTTATAGTAGTCATATCTATCTATCTATCTATCGATATAGATAGATAGATAGATAGATATAGATCTAGATATATCTGCGTAGATATATGTAGTTTTTATTTAGTATGCTCTAATTCTTTGATACCTTCCAATCCTTAGTTATCCAACTGTGTTAATGGAACTGAAAATAATGTTCCAGTTGGATTTATTTAACTTTATTGGTTAGGATATTTAAAAGATTTTAAGATACATAGTTTCTTAAATTCTCCAAAAGGTTGATGGTCTTAGATTATTAATTATGGCAAAATCTAAAAACAATGAAAATTATTTTCACATATGCTATTTTATTATTTGTTCTTTCCTTATAAGAAATTCAAATACAGATATAAGTTATTTTTGTATTATTCACTATATGTTTTTGATATTCAAAGGTCTTAGTTTGCTTTATGTTCCTGTAACAAAGTACTTGAGGTTCTTTTTAAAGAAAAGAAGCCCATTTGGTTCAGGATTCTGGTGGCCAGAAAGTTCCAAAAGCATGACCTGACATCTGATTGTGTCACAAGGTGGTTCAGAGAAGCAGAAGAGGAAACTGCTGTTGTGCAGAAGGAGCCCAAGCACAAGGAAGGAAGCAAGAGAATGAAGAGGGGCACGACTTACTTTTTAATAAACTACCTGCTTTTAAGGGAATTAATCTACCCTTAGGAGACCTGCCCTACTTCTTGGAGATAGTTGCAACCCATTCATTAGGGTGGACCTAATTACCTTCTATTAGGACCCACCTAATAGACCTCAAGACTACCACATTGGGGACCAAGCTTCCAGCACATGAACATATATATATATATATATATATATATATATATATATATATATTTATTTATTTATTTACATTATTACATATATATAAATATATATATATATTTACATTATATATATATTACATATATATATTCCATTATGCCTTACAATTACCTTCAGGTAGTAAAAATCCTAATGTAGACTAGCTTCATTAACCATCCTTTATTTTTTTCTTGTTTGTCTTAACTTGGAAGTTTTAAAAAATTACTCATCTAAGTAGAAATGTATATAAGCAAATATATATGTTTTAATACACACATAGATGTTTATATCTCTATATAGCTATCTGGACAGTTTTCTTATATATAGAATCTCTTTATCATTCTATAGACAATTTTTTCTCCTAGGGTTTAGAATAGAGAGGACTTTCTTCATACAGTAGGCGTTTAGCAGCCCTTTACTGAGTCAGGGGGTATCAGTTAAGTATTTGGTAATTAATCCGGACCTTGGCTTTTCTGATTCCACCCACGTCATGACCCTAACATTTAGGTTTTGCTGTATTCTCTCATCCAACAAAAATATGGAATATATTATGCATCGGTCAGCTTTAGGGTTTGGTTCAATTTATCTGATCCCTGAGCTTTATTCTGTGTAATTAATATCTCATAACCCATATGTTCAATTAACTTAGAGGCAGATTTTCTAGTCCCCTAAGACATATTATTATGAATTAAAACATTTTAGTGCTGGAAAGTTGGATAGCTCTTTTGTATCACTAGGGAGAGTAGTGTAGATATGTAATTTATGGCTCCTGCCAGTTTTTGAGAGACATTGCCAACAAACATTGGGCCAGAGTGGTAAGAAAAACATACCCCCCCTAAAAAGCCCCAAACCTAAATCCTTTACTCCAGTGGCAGCAACTTGCATAATCCAGATGCTCTTTAGATTCTCAAAGGAAAAAAAGAAGTTAATTAACAAGGAGAATACAAAACTTTTCTACGTGAAGCTTTTAAAGTGTTGGTTCAGCAAAGCAGCAGAAATGGTCACACACAAATTTCAAGGCACTCAAAATTCTGTTCTTAAACTTTCATCTTTTAGAAATTACACATTGGCTAAATGTGTAATTAGCACAATTTAGGTGCTTAGAGACATTTAACTTGTTGCACATTATAATTCTGAATGAAAATTTTTGGAGACTAGCAACATAGTGAGGTATATGATAAGACAGGAAAGTAGCCAATATTTGGAACTCTTAAATGTAGTAGGTAGTTGTTGAAAAATAAGTAATACAAGATATTAAATATAATGATTAAATAGTGTAGGAAAAATAGATCATAATAGATAATTTATGTGAGTGTCTAGGAGAAATCACACCGTACAAGAGAAAGAAAGCTAGTTGATGACTATGGAGAAGTTTAAAAGTTGGAACCCTAAGTCTAGAGGCAAGAGATTTTGTCTCTGTCATGTTAATTGTCAAAACTTTGCTCCATTCTATATGAAATATTAGCACTTTGCATATTGTCAAAGATTACCACCTTGAACTCTGCTGTCTAGTTCTTGCTGAAAGCATCTTTGTACAAAAAATATTCATAGAAAAGTTGCCTAAAGGATGTGTAGCCAGTTTGCTCCCAGATATTTCATATTTTACCCATAGACAAAACTAGATCTCCAGAGAGCAGTGTACTCACACTGTATTATTTTGGGATTATGAAAATAAAAACATGAAGGCATTGGGATGGAAAGAAGAAAAGTGATCTTACTTGCCTAAAGTGACTGAATTCTGGGCAGTGGGTGGGGAGAGGGTGCTTGTTGCAGTCTTGGGATTATGGGAGTAGAAATGATGGTTGTGGACGTTGAGAATCGAGGAAATGTGTAATTGGGGAATGTTGGTGACACATAGGATGATAGTGGTGAATTCCTTTTCTCACAAGGTAGATCAGTGGAAAGGGCAGTGAGAATTCAGAGCAGGGGTTAGAGTTGCTCCAATTTTCCCCTGTATACAGATGGAATATGAATATTTAATATGCCCTTTCTCATCTTCCTTTCCATAACATTTGGGAAAATGAAAAACATGCAGTAGCCATATGATAGGATGCAGGGAGTTATAAAAGCCCTTGGAAACAGATCCTTAAGAAACTGAAATTAGGCCATTTTCTCACTATTTTCCACTTCATTTTTGGCTTATTGTAGAAAAAAAACTTGGAAATGTCTGAGCAAGGCATAGAGCAAGATGCAGTCAGTGAACTTTTATATAAACCATGTTCTTTTCTGGAATTGATTTTCCAAAAGCCAATGGTTATTACCAGCCAGCATTTTTGTTTTTTCTTTCTCCCAGTTAGGAAGTGCACTTTTCATAAGAACATAGTACTTAACACTAATATAGCAGGGCCCTTCCTGGTTAATTCCCTTCAGCTCTTGTGTTTTTTTATTCTCTGTGACACAAATGAGACAGCAGGCTCAGCTAGTTAGAATGCAAAGGTCATGTCTAAAACTCTGCAGAGAATGGGAGAGTGTGGGATTAAATAACCCCTTTGTGTGTGTCAGGAGGGAGATGATTTCTTCCCCAGAGTGGTGAAACTGAATGTCATGGTTTTATCTTTAGAATGTTTTGTCACTAGTCTCTGAGTTTACTGGAACACTATGCTTCAAAAATCACTCCTTCTAGAAATGGCCTTTTAAAGCTTTCTGGGCTTTACTGATTCATGGAAAATTTTGTGCTTTCAAATTATAGCTAGCTCTGTGATTTATGCGGGCCTGGAAGCACAAAAATACTTCAGGTCCACACCTTTAAGTCTGCTTGGAAAGGTCTGCTTCATTAACATTGGGTGTCCTTATAGTAGGTTAGAAACATGATCTTAGAAAGATTAGAATCTTCATTGTAAATGAGAACAATAGAACATTCAAAGACTATAATAAAATTGTTATGGTGATATCATTCACATAAACATTTTAGATTATCTTTACTGTCTTTGGTCCTTTCTGTAATGCATCTTACCCAGCATACTGTCTGTACAAGAAGCACTATTGGGTGGATTTTAGTGCTGAATCTGGGATGCATATTTGAGAGGTGTTACTGTTTCTACATAGTAAATCACATATTTATACTTCTAGATGGGTCACATCTTGATAAAGTAAGCACAAAGACATTTTATATATGTATGTGCTACTACACACACACACTCACATATACACACCACATACACATACACAACTGCCCCACATATACACACATACACACACCACAAACACATACACACATAATACACACACACACACACACACACACCACAAACACATACACACACATGTAGGGGAGTGGGAGGGACATGTACATTTATGTATGTTTCACATTGACTTTTTTTTCATATTGACTTCTGTTCAGGACTCATCTGTAAGTTTATTGTTTATTTTTATATTCGAAATGGAAAGAGCCTGCTCTCATTCATTTTAGTACTTACCAGGTTGATAACAATAAGAATAGCTACCAGTTAATGTGCATTTATTTACTGCCAAACAACATCCTATGGGTTTCAGTGTATCCTACAATAGAAAAAGGCATCCTACAACACGAACTCAGATCTGGCCGATAGTGAGGTCCACTTAACCACTCTATTGACTTCTGTTAAGCAAAAATGAAGGATGACATTATGAAAGGGGGAAACCATGTCATACGGAATTGCTTACATTTCTTAAAAATAACTCCAGTTACGGACTCAGCAAGAAGGTGTGATCCATTTACTAAATGACTGAGGGAAATGTTGGCAACTTCCTGGAGAAAATAAGTTCCTGCTGTTTTTACCTAACATTAGGAAGGTTGTTGGTTAGTCATGATTTTGCTTCCACCCATTCTTTCTTCAAGCAGCTATTGCTATTTTTGTCTTATACACAAAAGCCCAAGCCCTGAGAATACTTCCTCCTTAGGAGCAGAGAAAAGGAAGTCTTAACTAAGAGGCAGAGACTCCACCTCTCTGGGCTTCTCTTTCCATGACCATACTTGCTGTACCTCCTTGCTGGCCTTGACTTACACCCTCCTGTATCACAGCTAGACGAAGAGTTTCTTGCTGTGGATTTTCATCTCATACGTCACAAATTTAGATGTGCCAAATATGACTTTATTTTCTTTACAACTGAACTTAATTCCTCCTTTGAGTCCTTGGTGATGGAAATTTGATTTTTGGTTTTCATCTGTTCAGTCTCTTGGTTACTGATATTTTTGTACATTAAACTCCTCTACATCTTTGGTCTAAATAAGCTTAAATCAATAAACTTTAATGCTTAAATCAATATGGATTTGGAAGAAGGAAATACACAAATTGGAGGGCATGATAATCTCAA